GGACCGTGGGCCCCCGCAGCCAGCAGCCAGCGCCGGCCCGGCCCCGCAGCCCAACCCATTATATTTTAAAAAATATACTTGTTATTTTGGACTAATTTTAGGTTTACCAAAAAGTTGCCAAGACAGTGCAAAGAATACCTAATACCCTCTTTATACCGTTTCCCTAATGCGAACATCCTGACATTACATGGGCATTTGTCAAACTTAAGAAAACAACTTTGGTACATGATCATATTAACTAAACTGAAGATTTTAATTTGGATTCCTCCAGTTTTCCCACCATCACCCTTTTTCTGTAAGATCCAATCTAAGATACCACATTGCAGTTAACATTAATCTTTTCGGTGTTCACTTTTTCTTTTCTTCTTTTCTCTATTCAGCCAGCTCCTAACATTTAGATGAAATCCCAGTGGCCTTTGACTTTGTGTGTATGTGTGTGTGTGTGTGTGTGTGTGTGTGTGTGTGTCCAGGCACTGGACAAGTTTCGGCTGCCAGGGCCGGTGTGGGAGCCCCAAGGGCAAGCTGGCATCCTCTGGCTGCCGTTCCCCCCCAGCCTCCAGAAGGCTGTCTGGTCACCACTGCCAGACTGCACATCGTGGCCATTGGCCCTGAATGCCAGTGCGCAGTGACACCATAGCTGCTCCAGACCCTGGGCTCCCTTGGGTCACCTGCCTCCCCCAGATCCCCAGGACATCAGATGGGGCCCACCCTTCCCAAGCACAAGGAGCCTGGAGAGCCAGGTGGGAAGGGAGGTCAGCACCAGAGAACAGAACGTGCCTTCACTCCGTCCAGGCCCCCTCATGGGGGGCGGGTGGGGGCGGAGGGCAGAGAGCAGGCTTGGGCTAAGGTTCCCCTTCTGCTCAGCCCTGCGGGGAGGAACAAGCCTTGTTGCCCCATAGGTGGTTACCACTTCCTGCTGCCGGAAGAGACTCTCCTGCCTCCTTTCCCCCGCGGCTTGCACCTGCTGTCCTAGGCCCAGGGGACTGGGGAGGGGCAGCCTTCTTCCTTCACTCTCAGAGCAAGGCCTTACTGAGCCTGGGGGCATCTTGGGGCCTCTCTTAGGAGTGCTGGAGTTTCCCTTCACCCCTCTCTACCAACTCGAAGTCACAGGCCAGGCCAACAGGTTTTTCTCCAGTATACTGAGGAGGCAGGATGCAGGTAGCAAGTGACCAGCCGGACTGGACAACTGTCTTCAGTTGGGTGGGAGGGAAATCCCTGGGGTATAGATGGTGGGGACGGCGGCGAAGGCAGTTAGGCTCTGGGCTCGTGCCCAGGGGAGGCGGGCCTGTAGGCGCTAGTGCAAGGGGTCCGGGCATGTGTGTGCGTGGATGTCCAAGTCAGGCTCTGTGCAAATGTGGGCACACGTGACCCAGACTTGCAGCTCTGGGAGGGAGGGGAGTCCTCGCAGGTGCTTCCTGGCTTTCAGCTGTGAGCGTCTGGCTCACCCAGAAGGGGAAAACATACCTCCTCAGTTCCCTGCCCCCACCCCCAGTACCAGGCCCTTCTTTAAGGTGCACTGTGTGCACGGGGCACTGGGGCTTTTCGGCCTGGGAGCAGGCCAGACCCCAGCAGGAAGGCATGCCCCTCATCAGCTAAACCCAACACAACACACCTTGCCCCCTACCCTCTATCTGAGCCCTGACTGGTCGCCCAAAGTTCCTCCCCCATTCAGCAGAGCCAGGCACAGGGCTCAAGCCCGCAGGAAACTGCGGCTGAACTAGTGTCGGCGTCTACTTTCAAATGCTCTCCTTCGTCGTTTTACTTTAGGACTCCAGAAATGCTCACGTGAAGCCCCATTCAGCCACTGGTGTCAAAACTTGAGTAACTAGCCCTGGCTTTTAGGACGCTTCTTTGGCATTTAAGGCCGAACTGCTTGCTCTGTCCTCAGCTCTACTGTTCCCCTTCAAAGAATGGCCATCATCAAAAAATCTAGAAACAATAAATGCTGGAGAGGGTGTGGAAAAAAGGGAACACTCTTGCACTGCTGGTGGGAATGTGAATTGGTTCAGCCACTATGGAGAACAGCATGGAGGTTCCTTAAAAAACTACAAATAGAACTACCATATGACCCAGCAATCCCACTACTGGGCATATACCCTGAGGAAACCAAAATTCAAAAAGAGTCACGTACCAAAATGTTCATTGCAGCTCTATTTACAATAGCCCGGAGATGGAAACAACCTAAGTGCCCATCATCGGATGAATGGATAAAGAAGATGTGGCACATATATACAATGGAATATTACTCAGCCATAAAAAGAAACGAAATTGAGCTATTTGTAATGAGGTGGATAGACCTAGAGTCTGTCATACAGAGTGAAGTAAGTCAGAAAGAGAAAGACAAATACCGTATGCTAACACATATATATGGAATTTAAGAAAAAAAAAATGTCATGAAGAACCTAGGGGTAAGACAGGAATAAAGACACAGACCTACTGGAGAACGGACTTGAGGATATGGGGAGGGGGAAGGGTGAGCTGTGACAGGGCGAGAGAGAGAGAGAGAGAGAGAGGCATGGACATATATACACTAACAAACGTAAGGTAGACAGCTAGTGGGAAGCAGCCGCGTAGCACAGGGAGATCGGCTCGCTCGGCGCTTTGTGACCGCCTGGAGGGGTGGGATAGGGAGGGTGGGAGGGAGGGAGACGCAAGAGAGAAGAGATATGGGAACATATGTATATGTATAACTGATTCACTTTGTTATACAGCAGAAACTAACACACCATTGTAAAGCAATTATACCCCAATAAAGATGTTAAAAAAAAAAAAAAAAAAAAGGGCAGGATCAGATCTGCGGGACCTTGCTAAGCCTGTTGACAAGTGGAGTGAACACTTGGTCCTGAGGGGTGACCGCAGGGCTGACGTGGTCAGGTCTGCTGGGTGAAGGATGGACCAGAGGGAGAAGAGATCAATGGGGAGGTTGTTAACAGATATCCACGTCAGATGAGAGCGTGAATTGGACAGTGAGGCCCCTCCCATTTTCCCACAAGTGAGCCTTCCAGGAGAAGTTTCACAATGGGGGTCCAGGTTGTGCACCTCTGTGTATAGGTTCATCCCCTGGGGAGACGTCCCCAGAGCCCACCCCCAGCCACACGGCTAGGGAACAGGAGTTCCTGCTTTTCCCACCCTCAGCCTTCCAGCCTCTGTTCGGCACCTAGCTACTGAAGCGGCCCCTCCCAGAGGCGGGTCCTGCAGAGAAGGAGAAAGTGCTGGGCCCCAAGGGTCAGTCGGGCCTGCGGCTTCCCCTCTCTGCCCTCCGCCCTCGCCTCAGCTCCCGCCTCCGCCCAGAAAACCCAACCGCCTGGGGGCGGCCGAGCGTCAACAGGCCCTCCCGGGACGCTAGACACGGAGAGCAGAGGGCGGCCCCGACGACGGAGGAAGGAGTGTGCCGCAAGGCACCGTGGGAGCCTCCGCGGGCTCCCTCCCGCCAGCGCTGGGGCGCGGCCGAGGTAGCGCGCATGCTCTCCCCCACGCCCGCCCCGCCCGCCCCGCCCGCCCCGCCCGCCCCGCCCGCCGCGCCCCCCCCGCCC